AGGTGTAGGTGTAGGTGTATGTGTGAGGTGTAGGTGTATGTGTATGTGTGAGGTGTAGGTGTATGTGTATGTGTAGGTGTATGTGTAAGTGTATGTGTGAGGTGTATATGTATGTGTAAGTGTAAGTGTATGTGTATGTGTATGTGTATGTGTATGTGTATGTGTATGTGTATGTGTGAGGTGTAGGTGTATGTGTAGGTGTATGTGTGAGGTGTAGGTGTATGTGTATGTGTGAGGTGTATGTGTATGTGTATGTGTATGTGTATGTGTATGTGTATGTGTATGTGTATGTGTAAGTGTATGTGTGAGGTGTATGTGTATGTGTATGTGTATGTGTATGTGTATGTGTATGTGTATGAGGTGTAGGTGTATGTGTAGGTGTAGGTGTAGGTGTATGTGTGAGGTGTAAGTGTATGTGTATGTGTATGTGTATGTGTATGTGTATGTGTATGTGTAAGTGTAGGTGTAGGTGTAGGTGTAGGTGTATGTGTAGGTGTAGGTGTAGGTGTAGGTGTAGGTGTAGGTGTATGTGTAGGTGTAGGTGTAGGTGTATGTGTAGGTGTAGATGTAGGTGTATGTGTAGGTGTAGGTGTAGGTGTAGGTGTAAGTGTAGATGTAGGTGTATGTGTAGGTGTAGGTGTAGGTGTATGTGTATGTGTATGTGTATGTGTATGTGTATGTGTATGTGTAGGTGTAGGTGTAGGTGTAGGTGTATGTGTATGTGTATGTGTATGTGTAGGTGTAGGTGTAGGTGTAGGTGTAGGTGTATGTGTATGTGTAGGTGTATGTGTATGTGTATGTGTAGGTGTAGGTGTAGGTGTATGTGTATGTGTAGGTGTAGGTGTAGGTGTAGGTGTAGGTGTATGTGTATGTGTATGTGTATGTGTATGTGTAAGTGTAAGTGTATGTGTGAGGTGTAGGTGTAGGTGTAGGTGTATGTGTAGGTGTAGGTGTATGTGTAAGTGTAAGTGTATGTGTATGTGTATGTGTATGTGTATGTGTATGTGTATGTGTAGTGTAGGTGTAGGTGTAGGTGTAGGTGTAGTGTAGGTGTATGTGTAGGTGTAGGTGTAGGTGTAGGTATGGGTGTAAGTGTAGATGTATGTGTAGGTGTAGGTGTAGGTGTAGGTGTAGGTGTAGGTGTAGGTGTAGGTGTAAGTGTAGATGTAGGTGTAGGTGTAGGTGTAGGTGTAGGTGTAGGTGTAGGTGTAGGTGTAGGTGTAAGTGTAGATGTAGGTGTAGGTGTATGTGTATGTGTATGTGTATGTGTATGTGTATGTGTATGTGTAAGTGTATGTGTATGTGTATGTGTATGTGTTTGTGTGGGTGTAAGTGTATGTGTATGTGTAAGTGTAAGTGTAAGTGTAAGTGTAAGTGTATGTGTATGTGTATGTGTTTGTGTGGGTGTAAGTGTAAGTGTATGTGTATGTGTATGTGTAAGTGTAAGTGTAAGTGTAAGTGTAAGTGTATGTGTATGTGTATTTGTATGTGTAAGTGTAAGTGTAAGTGTAAGTGTATGTGTATGTGTATTTGTATGTGTATGTGTATGTGTAAGTGTATGTGTATGTGTATGTGTAGGTGTAGGTGTAAGTGTATGTGTATGTGTAAGTGTATGTGTAAGTGTAAGTGTAAGTGTATGTGTATGTGTAAGTGTATGTGTAAGTGTAAGTGTAAGTGTATGTGTATGTGTATGTGTAAGTGTATGTGTATGTGTAAGTGTATGTGTAAGTGTAAGTGTATGTGTATGTGTAAGTGTATGTGTAAGTGTAAGTGTAAGTGTAGGTGTAGGTGTATGTGTATGTGTAGGTGTATGTGTATGTGTATGTGTAGGTGTAGGTGTAGGTGTATGTGTATGTGTAGGTGTAGGTGTAGGTGTAGGTGTAGGTGTAGGTGTAGGTGTATGTGTATGTGTATGTGTATGTGTATGTGTAAGTGTAAGTGTATGTGTGAGGTGTAGGTGTAGGTGTAGGTGTATGTGTATGTGTAGGTGTAGGTGTATGTGTAAGTGTAAGTGTATGTGTATGTGTATGTGTATGTGTATGTGTATGTGTAGTGTAGGTGTAGGTGTAGGTGTAGGTGTAGTGTAGGTGTATGTGTAGGTGTAGGTGTAGGTGTAGGTATGGGTGTAAGTGTAGATGTATGTGTATGTGTAGGTGTAGGTGTAGGTGTAGGTGTAGGTGTAGGTGTAGGTGTAGGTGTAGGTGTAGGTGTAAGTGTAGATGTAGGTGTAGGTGTATGTGTAGGTGTATGTGTATGTGTATGTGTATGTGTATGTGTATGTGTAAGTGTATGTGTATGTGTATGTGTATGTGTTTGTGTGGGTGTAAGTGTATGTGTATGTGTAAGTGTAAGTGTAAGTGTAAGTGTAAGTGTAAGTGTATGTGTATGTGTATGTGTTTGTGTGGGTGTAAGTGTAAGTGTATGTGTATGTGTATGTGTAAGTGTAAGTGTAAGTGTAAGTGTAAGTGTATGTGTATGTGTATTTGTATGTGTAAGTGTAAGTGTAAGTGTAAGTGTATGTGTATGTGTATTTGTATGTGTATGTGTATGTGTAAGTGTATGTGTATGTGTATGTGTAGGTGTAGGTGTAAGTGTATGTGTATGTGTAAGTGTATGTGTAAGTGTAAGTGTAAGTGTATGTGTATGTGTAAGTGTATGTGTAAGTGTAAGTGTAAGTGTATGTGTATGTGTATGTGTAAGTGTATGTGTATGTGTAAGTGTATGTGTAAGTGTAAGTGTATGTGTATGTGTAAGTGTATGTGTAAGTGTAAGTGTAAGTGTATGTGTATGTGTAAGTGTAAGTGTAAGTGTAAGTGTAAGTGTATGTGTATGTGTAAGTGTATGTGTAAGTGTAAGTGTAAGTGTAAGTGTATGTGTATGTGTATTTGTATGTGTATGTGTAAGTGTAAGTGTAAGTGTAAGTGTAAGTGTAAGTGTATGTGTATGTGTATTTGTATGTGTATGTGTATGTGTAAGTGTATGTGTATGTGTAGGTGTAGGTGTAGGTGTAGGTGTAGGTGTAGGTGTAGGATAGATAGATAGATAGATCATCTTTATTTCCTCCAGTTGATGAAGATACATTGATATGAGATATAAATGTATATATAACAGCTGATATATTGTATGTACAGACAGTTTCACATCGTTATCAAATAATGTTTCTTAGTAGGTTTTTCCACATTTGAACAGTTTTACATACACGAAGCATGATATTTGCCCATAGATTGTATTCAATTGCCATAGTACTTTCTGTTGGCAAACCGCCAAGTAAAAAGGACAGAAAGGTATCGTCATCATCGTTCCAGATACTAGAAAAAGTTGTCACATCTAGTAAATCAATAATAGACTCAACAAGAATATTTCTTTGTTGTTGAGTCTTTTTACAATACATAAACACATGTTTGATAATATCAAAAGCAAATGTGCCGCATAAACATTCATCAGATTGTATACTGTAGGTGCTAAGGCATAATAAATATGCTAAATCATAGAAGTGTTCCGGCCTTTCAATTGTTAGTAACCAAAGTCTGTGTACCTTAGGTGATTGTATAAGAGAGTATCGTTTTAGGTTTTCTCTTGAATGAATCTCTGCATGAATTATGTTAGGGTCACATACGCTTATTTGTTCTTTAACTCGACTCGCCCATGCATGTTTTGAGGGGAAATGAGAATAAATGGTATATGTGTTTATGTCATTATTGAGTTCATACTTGTTTACAAGTGAAAGCATGTGGTACACGGGTGACATTTTACATTTATCATCTTTTTCTTTAATTGTATCGAGTTCAAACTGAACAAGTCTGTGCTGAAATAGTCTTTTAAATGCAAAGTTAATGTCACTATTACATAGTCTTCCCAGAAATAAGAGAGCTCGTTGACCAATGTACGCCTGGAGAGAAATTAAACCCAGACAATCTCTGGTGACGACGGAAGGAGTGCGTCTAGACAGTCCTTGAATCTTTTTACAAAAATAACGTTGAATAATTTCAAGCATTTCGTATTCCTTCGGTGACAGTTTACCCCATACACTACAAGCACTACAAGTAGGTGTATGTGTATGTGTAGGTGTATGTGTAGGTGTAGGTGTAGGTGTAGGTGTAGGTGTAGGTGTAGGTGTATGTGTAGGTGTATGTGTAGGTGTATGTGTATGTGTAGGTGTAGGTGTAGGTGTAGGTGTAGGTGTAGGTGTAAGTGTATGTGTATGTGTAGGTGTAGGTGTTAGGTGTAAGTGTATGTGTAGGTGTAGGTTTAGGTGTAGGTGTAAGTGTATGTGTATGTGTAGGTGTAGGTGTAGGTGTAGGTGTAGGTGTAGGTGTAGGTGTATGTGTATGTTTAGGTGTTAGGTGTAAGTGTATGTGTAGGTGTAGGTTTAGGTGTAGGTGTAAGTGTATGTGTAGATGTAGGTTTAGCTGTAGGTGTAAGTGTATGTGTAGGTGTAGGTTTAGGTGTTAGGTGTAAGTGTATGTGTAGGTGTAGGTTTAGGTGTTAGGTGTAGGTGTAAGTGTATGTGTAGGTGTAGGTGTAAGTGTATGTGTAGGTGTAGGTTTAGGTGTAGGTGTAGGTGTAGGTGTAGGTGTAGGTGTAAGTGTATGTGTATGTGTATGTGTATGTGTATGTGTTTGTGTTGGTTTAGGTGTAGGTGTAGGTGTAGGTGTAGGTGTAGGTGTAGGTGTAGGTGTAAGTGTATGTGTATGTGTAGGTGTAGGTGTAGGTGTAGTTTTGGTGTCTTGTAGGTATAGATGTTGGTGTAGGTGTTGGTGTTGGTTTTGGTGTAGGTGACTAGGTAGTGGTAGTGGTTTTGGGATATTTGTAAGTGTAGATGTATTTGTCGGTGTCGGTGTAGTGGAAGGTACAGGTAAAGTGGTTGGCCTTGTTTAAAGGTGTAGGTGTAAGTATAGGTATAGGTGTAGGATAAGTAGTGAGCATAATATAAGTAGGATCCGCCGTCAGTTATCCATTCACCACCCGCACTTAGGCCGCACAGACCACAGTTTCCAAACATGAGTCTCGTCACCTCCAGCAGCCCAGATCACAGATTCCATACAGGAGTCTCGTCACCTCCGGAAGCCCAGACCACAGATTCCAAACAGGAGTCTCGTCACCTCCAGCAGCCCAGACCACAGATTCCACACAGGAGCGTCGTCCCCTCCAGCAGCCCAGATCACAGATTCCACACAGGAGTGTCGTCCCCTCCAGCAGCCCAGATCACAGATTCCACACAGGAGTGTCGTCCCCTCCAGCAGCCCAGATCACAGATTCCATACAGGAGTCTCGTCACCTCCAGCAGCCCAGATCACAGATTCCATACAGGAGTCTCGTCACCTCCAGCAGCCCAGACCACAGATTCCATACAGGAGTCTCGTCACCTCCAGCAGCCCAGATCACAGATTCCATACAGGAGTCTCGTCACCTCCAGCAGCCCAGATCACAGATTCCATACAGGAGTCTCGTCACCTCCAGCAGCCCAGACCACAGATTCCATACAGGAGTCTTGTCACCTCCAGCAGCCCAGATCACAGATTCCACACAGGAGTCTCGTCACCTCCAGGAGCCCAGACCACAGTTTCCATACAGGAGTGTCGTCCCCTCCAACACAGATCCAGGGGTCTCGTCACTACAGTCACACAGACTACAGCTTCAACACAAACAGATCACAGCTTCTATTTACAGGGGTCTCGTCAACACCAACCACATTGACCACAGCTCCCACACAGGAATCTCATCACCTGCAGCAGCACAGACCACAGCTTCAATGTATTGGTTTCGTCACCTCCAACACAGATAACATTTCCCACACAGAAGTCTCGTCACCTTCATCCACACAGACCACAGCTTCCATACAATGTCGTCACTTCCAGACACACAAAGCACAGCTTCCATTCATCAACATCGCTTCTTTACGCATGTATTGTCCCCTCCAGCAGCGCACTAAGGGATATTTTATGTCTGCATCGTTCGTTATACTGCTTGTAACGAATTGCACACCGAAATCTGTATCTCCTGGGCTCGCATTTTGTTAAATCTACACTAATCCCTGGATCTCTTGGTTCTCGCGATCTCAAATTACGCGCCCTTGCTATTCAGTTACATAGAAATAGGTAAGGGACTTGCCACTGCTATTTTAATGGACATGAGGACATCATTTCCATCAAATATATTTAAATATATTTTAAGGGCTTTCGTTTGCTTGTGAGTCAATGTTAAATTCTTGCAAACTCGATCGTCATCAATGGTTTTGACACGCCTTGTAGGAGGTGATGTTCTCGCAACACCATACACGCCTTGTAGGAGGTGATGTTTTCGCAACACCATATACGTGTTGTAGGAGGTGATGTTCTCGCAACACCGTACACGTCTTGTAGAAGGTGATGTTCTCGCAACACCATACACGTCTTGTAGAAGATGATGTTCTCGCAACACCATACACGTCTTGTAGGAGGTGATGTTCTTCCAACACATTTGATGGCAGGACATTGTCTTATACTTATAGATTACTTAGTATTTTCTCTTATAGATTACCTTGTAGTTTACCTTGTAGCTTATCGTGTAGCTTACTTTATAGATTACTTTGCAGCTTACCTTGTACTTATGATTAATCTTGTAGCTTACTTTATAGATTACCTTGCAGCTTACCATATACTTATAATTTATCTTGTAGTTTACCTTATAGTTTATCTGGTACTTATAGTTAACCTTGTAGATTACTTTGTAGATTATCTTGTGGAATATCCTGTACTTATAGTTTATCTTGCTGCTTACCTTGTAGACTACCTTGTAGATTACCTTGTACGTATAGTTTATCTTGCAGTTTACCTCATAATTTACCTGGCACTTATAGTTGACCCTGTACATTACCCCGTATCTTACCTTGTAGCTTACCTTGCAGATTACCATGTAGAACACCTTGTACTTTTAGTTTATCTTATAGTTTACCATCTAGTGTACCTTGTAGTTTAACCTGTAGGTTATAATAGGAAGGGTTCGTAAATAGAAACAGCTGTCTAACTTTCTCCTAGGACGCAGATTTACAACTTTTCGAGGAGTTACTGTAAAATAGAACACTTTCCCGTGTAGTTCTAGTAAGACGTTGCTTTTCATGCAGACATTTTGCCTTGTCCTCGTATAAGATGGTTTTGCAAAGAACACTTTGCTGTGTGTTTTATCGTTGGGTGAGGTGTTACCTTAAGGAATCCCTAATAAAGTTTCGTGCAACATAGCTTTTACATAAGTTCTTTACCTTGTAGTGTGCAGTAGGAGGAAATGCTACGTTTCATTCTTTGCTTCGTAGTTGTTTATATAGAGTCACGTAACATAGAACACTTTGCCATGTTGTTCATATATCGCGGTGTAACATAGAACAGTTTGCCTTGTAGTTTCTCATCTAGCGTGGTGTATCATAGAAAACTTTGCTATGCTGTTGTTCATATAGCGTGGTGTAACAAACAACACTTTGCCATGTTGTTCATATATCGCGGTGTAACATAGAACAGTTTGCCTTGTAGTTTCTCATCTAGCGTGGTGTATCATAGAAAACTTTGCTATGCTGTTGTTCATATAGCGTGGTGTAACAAACAACACTTTGCCTTGTAGTTTCTCAAATAATGTGGTGTAACAAACAACACTTTGCCATGTTGTTCATATATCGCGGTGTAACATAGAACAGTTTGCCTTGTAGTTTCTCATCTAGCGTGTTGTAATATAGAAAACTTTGCTATGCTGTTGTTCATATAGCGTGGTGTAACAAACAACAGTTTGCCTTGTAGTTTCTCAAATATCGTGGTGTAACGAACAAAAGGTTGCCTTGTAGTTTCTCAAATAACGTGGTGTAACAAACAACACTTTGCCTTGTAGTTTCTCAAATAATGTGGTGTAACAAACAACACTTTGCCATGTTGTTCATATATCGCGGTGTAACAAACAACACTTTGCCTTGTAGTTTCTCAAATAACGTGGTGTATCATAGAAAACTTTGCTATGCTGTTGTTCATATAGCGTGGTGTAACAAACAACACTTTGCCTTGTAGTTTCTCAAATAACGTGGTGTAACAAAAAACAGTTTGCCTTGTAGTTTCTCAAATAACGTGGTGTAACAAACAACGCTTTGCCTTGTAGTTTCTCAAATAACGTGGTGTAACAAACAACACTTTGCTGTGTAGTTTCTCATACAGCGTGGTGTAACATACAGTGTAGAACACTTTGCTATGCTGTTGTTCATATATCGCGGTGTAACATAGAACACTTTGCTGTGTAGTTTCTCATATAGCGTGGTGTAACATAGAACAATTTGCTGTGTAGTTTCTCATATAGCGCGGTGTAACATTGAACACTTGACCTCGTTGTTTATATAGCGTGGCGTAACATAGAACACTTTCCTGTGTAGTTTCTCATATAGCGCGGTGTATCATAGAACACTTTGCTGTGTAGTTTCTCATATATCACGGTGTAACAAAGAACAGTTTGCTGTTTAGTTTCTCATATAGCGCGGTGTAACATTGAACACTTGACCTCGTTGTTTATATAGCGTGGTGTAACACAGAACACTTTGCTGTGTAGTTTCTCATATAGCGCGGTGTATCATAGAACACTTTGCTGTGTAGTTTCTCATATAGCGCGGTGTAACATAAAACACTTTGCTGTGTAGTTTCTCATATAGCGTGGTGTAACATAGAACACTTTGCTGTGTAGTTTATCTTTAAGCGTGGTGTAACATTGAACACTTGACCTCGTTGTTTATATAGCGTGGTGTAACATAGAACACTTTGCTGTGTAGTTTCTCATAAAGCGTGGTGTAACATTGAACACTTGACCTCGTTGTTTATATAGCGTGGTGTAACATAGAACACTTTGCTATGCTGTTGTTCATATAGCGCGGTGTAACATAGAACACTTTGCCTTGTAGTTTCTCATATAGCGTGGTGTAACATAGAACACTTTGCTGTGTAGTTTCTCATACAGCGTGGTGTATCATAGAACACTTTGCTGTGTCGTTTCTCATACAGCGTGGTGTATCATAGAACACTTTGCTATGCTGTTGTTCATAAAGCGCGGTGTAACATAGAACACTTTGCTATGCTGTTGTTCATATATCGCGGTGTAACATAGAACAGTTTGCCTTGTAGTTTCTCATATAGCGTGGTGTAACATAGAACACTTTTCGGTTTAGTTTCTCATGAAGCGTGATATATCATAGAACACTTTGCTGTGTCGTTTCTCATATAGCGCGGTGTAACATAGAACACTTTGCTGTGTAGTTTCTCATATAGCGCGGTGTAACATAGAACACTTTGCTGTGTAGTTTCCCATATAGCGTGGTGTAACAAAAAACAGTTTGCCTTGTAGTTTCTCAAATAACGTGGTGTAACAAACAACGCTTTGCCTTGTAGTTTCTCAAATAACGTGGTGTAACAAACAACACATTGCTGTGTAGTTTCTCATATAGCGTGGTGTAACATACAGTGTAGAACACTTTGCTATGCTGTTGTTCATATATCGCGGTGTAACATAGAACAGTTTGCCTTGTAGTTTCTCATATATCGCGGTGTAACATAGAACAGTTTGCCTTGTAGTTTCTCATACAGCACGGTGTAACATAGAACACTTTGCTGTGTAGTTTCTCATAAAGCGTGATGTATCATAGAACACTTTGCTGTGTCGTTTCTCATATAGCGCGGTGTAACATAGAACACTTTGCTGTGTAGTTTCTCATATAGCGCGGTGTAACATAGAACACTTTGCTGTGTAGTTTCCCATATAGCGTGGTGTAACAAACAACACTTTGCTGTGTAGTTTCTCATACAGCATGGTGTATCATAGAACACTTTGCTGTGTAGTTTCTCATATAGCACGGTGTAACATAGAACACTTTGCTGTGTAGTTTCTCATATAGCGTGGTGTAACATAAAACACTTTGCTGTGTAGTTTCTCATATAGCGTGGTGTAACATAGAACACTTTGCTGTGAAGTTTCTCATATAGCGTGGTGTAACATTGAACACTTGACCTCGTTGTTCATATAGCGCGGTGTAACATAGAACACTTTGCTATGCTGTTGTTCATATAGCGTGGTGTAACATAGAACACTTTACCTCGTTGTTCATATAGCGCGGTGTAACACAGAACACTTTGCTATGCTGTTGTTCATATAGTGCGGTGTAACATAGAACACTTTGCTATGATTCTGTTCATATAGCGCGAAGTAACATAGAACACTTTGCTATGCTGTTGTTCATATAGTGCGGTGTAACATAGAACACTTTGCTATGCTGTTGTTCATATAGCGCGGTGTAACACAGAACACTTTGCTATGCTGTTTTTCATATAGCGCGGCATAACATAGAACACTTTGCTATGATGCTGTTCATATAGCGTGGTGTAACATAGAACACTTTTCCTCGTTGTTCATATAGCGCGGTGTAACACAGAACACTTTGCTATGCTGTTTTTCATATAGCGCGAAGTAACATAGAACACTTTGCTATGCTGTTGTTCAAATAGCGTAGTGTAACATAAAACACTTTGCCATGTTGTCTTTATAGCGTGGTGAATCATAGAACACTTTGCCTTGAAGTTGTTCATATAGTGTTGTGTAACATTGAACACATTGAACGGTTTGCCATGAAGTTGTTCATATAGCATGGTATAACATAGAACAGTTTGCCTTGTTGTTCATATAGTGTGGTGTCACAGTGAACACTTTGCCATGTTGTTGTTCATAGGGTGTTGTGTAACACTGAACACTTTGCCATGTTGTTGATCACAGGGTGTTGTGTAACACTGAACACTTTGCCATGTTGTTGATCATAGGGTGTTGTGTAACACTGAACACTTTGCCATGTTGTTGATCACAGGGTGTTGTGTAACACTGAACACTTTGCCATGTTGTTGATCATAGGGTGTTGTGTAACACTGAACACTTTGCTATGCTGTTGTTCATAGGGTGTTGTGTAACACTGAACACTTTGCCTTGTGGCTGCTCATGGGGTGTTATGTAACACTGAACACTTTGCCTTGTGGCTGCTCATAGGGTGTTGTGTAACACTGAACACTTTGCCTTGTGGCTGCTCATAGGGTGTTGTGTAACACTGAACACTTTGCCTTGTGGCTGCTCATAGGGTGTTATGTAACACTGAACACTTTGCCTTGTGGCTGCTCATAGTATGCGACTTGCAAGACTTGAAGTTCCTCCGATTAGGTGTTGTAGTATGCCCTTTCTCTTCTAAGGAGAAAACATCTTTGAACTCAGTCCGGATTTTTTCCTTCAATTGATCTTTCAATTTAATCAGAGCTCCGGGTTCTTAAAATACAGATGATTTAAGCTGAAATAAAATTAAAATCAGGATAGAATGTAAAATGTTCCATGTCAAGCTACAAGCAAAACACAGAGCGCGTGTATATGTATTTAAACGATCGATTTCACCAGCGTAATTTGGCCGCTTTATTCACGTCGATGCTCGTCTCTCGATTGAAGCGATCAAAAGACGGAAACATTCAGAGAAAATCACGGGGTCTATTGTGCCAGTTCCTGGCTCAGGTGGCTCGATCCGTATTCCGTATTTATTAGACTTTTCACGACACTTAAAACCCGGAGCGAGCGGAAGAGCTTGATGATAATCACGGGGTTTTCAGCATTGGGCAGCGTTCGCCATATGCCACAGGCTTGTCGCTCGTACCATTGATCAAAAGAGAGAATTTTCTAGCATTAATAAAACAAAAAAATCGAAGAATTCTTTGATGTATTTCAAGTAGTTTTGAAAACTTTGAGAAAGCTGCTCTTGTCTTTTTTTCATGCGTAAATGATATGAGTAAAACGTGGTGGATTTCGGAATAAGTGTTGGTTAATTAATCTTAAGACTTAAGTCACTCATTTTCTCCAGGCGAGGCACGCATTTCCTATATAATTATTGTTATTTGCCCAGCTTTTTGTGTCAAGGATACTAATGTATTTTGTTCGATTGGTAGAAAAAAATGTCATCTGTGACCACTCGTTCTGCCCCTCTTCCAATATGAACAACTAATTGACCAAATATATTGATTTGGACATAATTCTTTTTTCCGATAAAAAGGGTAGGTATCGGCAATGTTTTAATTGAATATTAAATCATATAGGTTCGCAGTATCATTATTCCGTATACTGGTGGCGAGGCACTAAAATTTGGTATACTCTTGGAAATACATTGAGGCGAGGACACGTAGCAGAGTTTGTTCAGAAGTATAATTTTATACTAGTAAAGGCAATTTGCGTATTGTGTTCAGAAGCTAAGGCCGGGCACTTTGCGTGTTGTGTTCAGAGAAAAGAGTAAGGGCAATTTGCGTTCACGCAACATAGTAAAGGCTCCATGAGTATTTTATCTAATAAGTGGCACCTTTTGCAGTGCGACCAGACTATGGCAAAGACACGTATATTAATTCAGGAAAAAGGACGTTATTTTTATCATTGTGTCCAGAATATAATGAGGGTACTTTGTGAAAAAATTTCGGACAAACGGTAAAGGCAATCTCCACTGTGTCCAGAAAAAGTACAAAGGGTACGTAGTATATTTTTTCAAGAAAACTAGTAAGGGCACTTGTGTCGCTCACCCAGCCCTCCCCTCACACCCTGCCCTCACACCCTGCCCCCACACCCTGCCCCCACACCCTGCCCTCACACACTGCCCTCACACACTGCCCCCACACCCTGCCCTCACACCCTGCCCCCACACCCTGCCCCAACACACTGCCCCAACACACTGCCCCCATATACCGCCCCCACACCCTGCCTCCACACCCTGCCCTCACACACTGCCCTCACACACTGCCCCCACACACTGCCCAAACACACTGCACTCACACCCTGCCCTCACACCCTGCACTCACACCCTGCCTCCACACCCTGCCCCCACACCCTGCCCCCACACCCTGCCCTCACACCCTGCCCCCACATACTGCCCCCGCACACTGCCCCCGCACACTGCACTCCACACCCTGCCTCCACACCCTGCCCTCACACCCTGCCCTCACACCCTGCCCTCACACCCTGCCCTCACACCCTGCCCCCACACCCTGCCCCCACACCCTGCCCCCACACCCTGCCCCCACACCCTGCCCTCACACCCTTCCCTTACACACTGCCCCCACACCCTGCCTCCACACACTGCCCCCACACACTGCCCCCACACCCTGCCTCCACACCCTGCCCCGACACCCTGCCCTTAAATCCTACCCGAGCCCTGTCCTCGCATCCTGCTACCCCCACCCTTCCCCAACTTCCTGCCCTCTCACCTTGTCCCCACACCCTGCCCTCACACCATTCCCCTACACCCTGGCTTCCAGCCTGTCCTTACATCCTGCCCCTTCGCACCACAGCCCCTTCAAAACTCCAGGTGACTTGGAATGTCAGATAGCCATTCAATGTATTCTAAATACCGACATGACTTTGCTAAGTACGGAAATGAAACAATCGCAAATTTCAATTCATCATAGGAGCGTCATCTGCTAAATACTGGCGGATTCCATCGCACTGTCATATATACTAGACAGCGAGAAAATACAGATTGATCACACAGAAACCATTTTGTTGATCAAGGAGGGTTAATAGTATTGATGTTATCAATGCAACAAATTGCGTTGTTCATTTCCTATTTAAAGGACAATCCCGCGTTTGAAAACTAATTCCGTGTATTTTATTTTTGTAACTTTTTTAATCACTTGAGAAGTGTTGTCTGCTTGCTCAGCTCTTGGTTGTTGTATTCCAAAGAAAGTAAGAACGAATACATGGGCGAGGATGACGAGGTACAATATTACGTCATGCAATTTCAGACAGCTGTCGACCCTCTAACGAGCAATGTTATAAAACTGGTATAAAGAGGTGCAACGGGAGTAGAGTGTATGCATATTAAACGAGGGTTTCGTATTCGTGACGCAGGCCAAAAACATGGCCATCATACTCGAGCAAGAAAAACATGCAACTCGAGCAGAGTTGGAAATCTATTTTTATTGAATAACGCGAAAGACGTTTATGTAATAACAAAGTTTCTTAGTTCTGAGATGTGTGTCGCTCTCTTAACAAGAAGAAAACAACAAAACGCCTTCTCTCGCCTATCAGGCAGAGGTGATGTGAGGAGAAATTGGGTTTAACGTCACGTCCAAGATTACTGCACTTATATAGCGAGGTGCGTGCACGTGTGTGTGTGTGTGTGACTGCTTGTACTAATCTGACTGACTGATATAGAAGATTTAACGTGCGCTTTCCGACTGTAGCGTATTTCGCACACGGTACTAGTCCGGACTGATGCCGATTTATAATGCTAGCTCACTGAGATTACATTCCGCAGTTTAACATGAATACCCCGCTCAGACACATTATACTGACTCCGAGCCGACCAGTCCTTGTTTTAGCCCCTTAATGCCGAGCGCCAGACAGGGTAACAACAAGTACCATCTTTTAACGTCTTTTGGTATGACGCGGCCGGGGATCGAACCCCGGATCTTCCGCTCTCCGGGCGGACGCTCTACCACTAGACCACGGAGGCGGTCCCTATCAGGCAGAGAAACAGTTCAGTGTGTGTAGTTTCCCACGGCGGTGTTTATGATGGACACTGGTAGGACAACATCTCCCATCAGATTCTCACTGTACAACCTCCGTGTACTCGAACGCAATGACCGAATACATTCATTTTTATGCATACACTTCAATGAATGAGGTGAGATAAAGTGAGACTTGTCGCCTCGTTCAAGTCCTTTTTGACCCAATAATGCCGAGCGCAAGGCAGGATAACAACAAGTATAATCATGTGTTAACGTCTTTAGGTATGCTACTCCTTCACAAACTCAAAGTACATCAGTGTGTACGGTGTTCACAAACATAATGCACATCTGTTGACCCGTGAAGATCCGGGTTACAATAGGTCTTCAGCAACCCATGCTTGCCGTCAAAGGCGACCATACTTGTCGTAAGAGGCGACAAACGGGATCGGGTGGTCAGGCTCACTGACTTGGTTGATGCATGTCGTCGTATCCAAATTGCGCGGAACGATGCTCATGATATCTATTACTGGATTGTCTGGTCCAGACACGATTGTTTACAACCCGCCGTCATATAGCTGGAATATTTCTGCTTGCGGCGTTAAACAAATAACAATCACACAAACACATCTGTGTTTGTAGACGAATACGACAAAGCTTCACAAGTACATCTGTGGATTATGTGGAACCTTCGAGAACACAAATAACATTTCCGACTTTTAGATCGATGCATTTCAAACGTACATAAAACCTAATCTATCAAACACGTGTGCAGTGGGGTTTATCAAACTGACACTTAGCAGCTGATGTAGAAAATCCTGGTGAAAAAAAGCCAGCGGAAATTCAAGCGCTTAAGAAGCGGTACAGGAAGAACCTAAAGTAACCAAAAGTTTACTTTTCAATTGAACTCAACATTCCAAGTGTGCTATTTCCCTTCAACATTTCAATCATCAAATTGCCTAAATCTAAGCCTGGTTTGTTGTGACTAGCGCGACCGACAATATGATTAACACCAAATATCCGGGTTGTGCATCCCCTTCAGAAAGTTACCGGTTTTGAACGGAAGTCAGTCCAATCTAGAAAAGCTTTTTCCTTTCCATTAATCAATCGCACCTAACTTGGCAGGTATTTCATGTTGATTTCACCAATCGCTTTTGTCGGTGATTATGGGTTTAGCGCTGCCGACATATGGTCAATTAGGTGTCGATCGCATGGCTATCTAAGCGCGTGACGCCGGATCGTCAACGTAATTAATTTCATCCGTATTTTCTATATGTAACAACCATGGGCTGATTAGGCTCTGCCTTCAAAAGCCAGTCAATGGCGGAAGTCGGCCTGCTGACAACTCGCAATTGACGGCAATTTACGAACGAATAACAAGCCGAGATTTTCGCTTAAGTCGAATCGATTTCCGGGATGAGCCTTGGGCCTGTCTTTGATGACAGATCGAGATCCCTCAACTTCCTCCGACTGCAACCTACAATTGGCAATTTTAGTCCGTGATTGAGGCGAACACCGACCACAAACAGCCACAGTTTCGGGGGTGCCAGCGGCAGGGGTATCAATGTAGGGAAGCGGGGGTACTTGATAATAATTGACACAAGTGTAGCGAAATATGTCCCTCAGTCAGAGAGAGTGAAACACAAGCAGTTTGTTAACTGCGGATGTGAGAGGGGAAAGGGGGAGGGGAAAGTGGGAATAGGGAGGGGGAGGTGAGGGACGGAGGAGGGAGACGGGCCGCCCTCTATCGATCTACTGTGATGCCCTAACGCTAATGGTATGTACATTAAAATAGCAATAGTAGGAGTAGCAATAGAAGGAAACGTTTTTAAAATGCTCAGACACATTAAAAATATATTTGTTAAATTATCTGTCGTAAAAAAAATGTGAAGAGGTATTGGGTTGAATTTATTTAACTTATAATTTCTTTCTTAACTTTACAGCTGTACATATAGGCAGAAGGCTAATACAATTACATGTGGTCAGAGGAGGGGAGTAAAATGACCATGTCCACAGAATTATATCAACACTAGTTTATACTTTTTATACAAATAGCCAATTTCTCAATATTAACCTATCATGTTTCAAGTTACCAAAGGTAGTCATTAGTAACCGTAGGGTATATTTTGAAATAAATCGTACAAACGTGTAGACGCATTTTATACATTGTACTTGGGCAAATACAACAAGGTTAACAAACATCGGAGTACAACGGACGCGCCAAAACTAGGCGATCTTGCTCTTCTCCATCCTCAGAGTCACAGTGGCTGCGGCCAATCTCCTGGCATTAAACGCAGACTCTTGACATTTAGGTGTCTATCTAAGTACAAATTTTATAAATACAACATAATCGACCAAATACAATATGTACGATTGTCTAACTGAAACAGCTACGCGTGATTGTCTGAAAACACGATTTATTTGTGTTGTCAAAAAACAATTAAAAACAAGATTCTCGAAATAAATTAGAACGAGTAATTGTCTTTGTAATCGACCATTCATTCATTGAGGTGGAGATATGGGTGGCTGAGAGTCTAGAATTTGTCTCAAAAAGTAACCCATCCGAAAAAAACCGGAAAATAGTTTTAGGGATAGACCCATTTAAAGCACCTGGTGTAAACAGGGTACAGACACAAATATATTTCGTGTACAAAATGAAATATTTTGTCAAGAGCGAAATTTCCGAAAACCCAACTACAAAATCACGATTCCTTGTAATATAATATTAGTCTCTATAATTCCCTGAATGTTGGTTCATTCTTTCATTCCTTCCATCCATATATTGATTAATGTGTTTAGCTATTCATGTGTCTGTGTTTTTAACATTTTCTTAATGTGCTTTGTGTGAAAGCAATTGCAACTATACTAGCAAATGCGTCTGGTAGACAGACAGCAGACACCCCGGGGATGGGGCCTTTATGTGTTGCCGAGTGCTGCATACTCTACGACTGATTTCAACGTAGATACACATCTACATATTTAGAGGGCCAAATAGCTGCAGCTTTACGATCACAAACTGGCGCTCCCAGGCCAGGCGACAGAAGCAGCTCTGTCCCGCATTGGGCGTCAGAGGGTTGCGTAACTCCAGGAAGACTCTGAGCCCGAAAGGTGCCGGGGAGAGATGTCTGGACGTCACCGTCTACTCAACACACAGTACCGTCGTCATCTCACATCGGAGAATAAATGGATGTGTACCCTAACTCAGTCGAAAGTAACACCTGATTAATATATTATTTGGGATGTTATTTTATTACAGATCGGATAACCTTATGGTGTTTATATGTTAGTTCTTGTTTAAATTTGTATGATATTTGTTTGTTCAACACATCAAATTTACATTAATTTCACGACAGTGCGCTTATATCATATACTGTACTTGCTCGTGCTTTTTCAGAATAACAATTTTAATCCTGTTTCCTGAAAGTCGGACAAAACCGAGCTTTGGATTTGTTTACGCCAATTCCTCTAAATTGCCTTTAAAGTCTAACATCGGGGGTGCATTTTCCTTTGTTTATTTACATGACTGCTTGAACACGCTTGAACAGGCAATATCTGCTGATATGCCTGTGTAACACAGCCCCAGGTGACAAGGCAATATCTGCTGATATGCCTGTGTAACAGAGCCCCAGGTGACAAGGCAATATCTGCTGATGTACCTTGTAACACAGTCTCAGGTGACAAGGCCATATCTGCTGATATGCCTTTGTAACAGAGCCCCAGGTGACAAGGCAATATCTGCTGATGTACCTGTGTAACACAGTCCCAGATGACAAGGCAATATCTGCTGATGTACCTTGTAACACAGTCCCAGATGACAAGGCAATATCTGCTGATGTACCTTGTAACACAGTACCAGGTGACAAGGCAATATCTGCTGATG